AACTCAGACTCGTGTTAAAATTATCGATCTTGTAAGGTAATTATATGATCAACACAACCCTTCTTGTCATCCTTCTCGAATTAAATGTATAAAAGAAAGAGAATGATCGTCAATGGACGACGACTCGACTCGGGAGCCGAGTTGTCGGCTGACCAAGCTGAAGTTTTCGTAATGCACGCGATCGGGGGGGCTATTAGCGGTTGCACAGAGTACATATACGCGAGCAACCTTGTCGTACGATACTCAACTCGATACGACATTTCCGAGTAGAGCGCGGACATCAGTGTTCGTGTATCGTCGCGCATAACCTGTCATTATCAGGAATATTGCTTTCGCGACGACGACTACAACTACGACGACGACGCTGAACTCGTTCCGAGGCTCCTCTTAAAGTCCATTTTTTTGTCGCGATTTATTCATGTAAAACACCATCTCCCGCGCTTCCCAACTGTTTTAATTCTTGACGTTCGATACGAACAACGTCCTACTGTTTTCTTTTTTTTTTCTTTTTTTACACGGTTGATATATACTCGTTTCGATGGAAAAGGTAAATGGATTTTAATTTTTCTTCGCGTGTTTAAAAGACACTTTCAGACTTTATTTCTTTTCCGTCGAGAAATTGTTCCGTAAATGCTTGGCCTGCTGATATGCAAATATTGTAATACTTATTTTGACGGGTTTCAAATTGCAGCTATTTTTTTGGTATATTTTTGGAGCATCGATAGCAAAAATGACAATAGTTTTTTTCTAAAAGTTATAATTTTGCAGATACAATATATCTAAGAATAATTACAGTTTAATTTATGCATACTAAAATCCGTCTTAGTCAGAGTGTTATCCATAACAACAAGATATTTAATATTTTAGATTATTCAATTAATTATATCTATGTCATGGATTACAAACATGCAAATAGTTTTGTTCTAAAAGTTATAATTTTACAGATACAATATACCCATGAATAATTACAGTCCAACTTTTACATACCACAATTCGTGTTACTCGGTATTATCATAAGCAATTACATATTGATAATGTTAACACCTATTCCCTAAAATAATACAACTAATAAAAGATAAAATAACGAATGAAGATATAGAAAAGACATATTGAATGATGTCAGATACGATGAGAATGGAAAACCGAGATATAATTGAGGTGGAATAGAATAACGTTAACAACTATTCCCTAGAATACTAGAATACTCTAGAAT